AATCCAAACTGGGGTTACGCTACTACCAATCCACCGTGACAGAAATGTAGTATAGAAGTAATGGCTTCCATTTACCTCTTCACCAGCATCAGCCAATGCCCAGCAAGAACAGCCAGTGAGAATTCCAGATTAGTTTGGCTGCTGTTATTATATTTGTTTACAGGCATGGTCCTTAGCATCTGACGCTATGGGACTTCTGTACTTTTGTCAATGAAGATCATCCTGTCAGGTAAAACTTGGAACAAGTTCTTTTGATTTGTACCCCAGCAGGTACAGCCAAACGTCAGAAACGAGTAAGACCAGGGTGCTGGAGACGTCAAAACTGAGCCTTCAGCCAACCTCCAATGGCCGTTGGTGCAAATCAGGTTTATAGCTACAAGGACAGAACACGACCTAGCATATTTAATTATCAAACAAAATCCAACGAGAAGTTACAATGTTGACAATAGTCTGTCAAAGGCTATATGGTACAATCTACTCCGTATGTGCTTACCAGCTCTCTTTCCATTCCGTTCTTCTCAACAACCCTACTCTTGTTTCAACAGGTATAACAGAGTAACTGTGCTATTCTGAACAAAGTCCCCTGGTCTAGGATCACTGGTTTTAACAGGATTAGACTAGAGTTAACTCTGGACATGCCTGAACTGAAAGAGGCTTGACCAAGTGGAGTTACAAACCTATGAAGCACAGCACTGCCTTGGGCAGGCCACAATCTCTTAGCCTACCCTACCTCATGAGGCTACAGCAGTAATCCCACGTTCATGAACCTACAGATACTTGGAGAAGGGGCTGGATAGGATACCACTCACACATGTGTCATATGGGCCAAGCAACATGGGAGATTCACAACTAGGTGTGCTGATGTCTTCTTGAACTTTGAAATGCGTTTGAATTGGGGCTGTGGTGACAGGGGTCAGGTTAGCCATACACCACCCAAAAGAACTCACAACCTAATATGGTAACATTGGCTGCAAGACGCAGCAAGAAAAAAAGTACCATATGGAAGGTTATTAGGTGCAATGAGGGAGGAAAAGGCAGGTACGCCGCCTGTATTGTCTTCCACCCCACCCCCATGCAGATAACAGCAGCTCACAGGGATGACCATTCCTATCAGTCGAAAAACAAATGGGGGGGGGGGCCCTGCAGTTATTTTAATGTTAAAGAAGAGCCAAGCAAGCATCTCTTGAAATCGGTGGTTTTACTCTCCCTACCCTTTCTTTTTAAATGTATTTTGCAGTCCCTCTAGCCAGGAGGCCCTAGATCAGCAACTAAAATATCCTGAATCAAGTGCAAAAAGCCATCCCATTTTTATATCACCCTTCTTTCAAGCTGCTCAGGGCAGCATACACAGTTCTCTGTAACAACTGTATTCTGCTAACTTGGAAGGTAATTAGGCCCAAAAAATCTGGCCCAAAGTCACCCAGAAAGTTCAGTTCAAAAACAGCCCCCTGGATTCGGTTCCACAGTAGCCACTGCCCATTCCTGTCACTCGCCATTCACCAGAGCCCTATCACACACATCGGATGCCTGACCACACAACCCCAGTATAAGAAGTTGTGCTCGGGTTTCTCCATCCAGTTTCATAGCCATTTCTAAACTGACATTCACTTCCAGCTAGAGAATTCCTGAGCCCCAAATGGCACACAGCCAAGGCCAAGAGACTGGATATCACCACCTCAGCAGATTTATTTTCTGCTAGCAGATTCCAAGCTCCATATAAGCTGACAGCAGAGTGCCAAGCAAAGAGGCCAGCCAGCATGCAAGCTCATCAGGACAGAGTCCAACCCTTTTGGCATACACCGCTTTGGTAACAGAAGAGTCAACGGTAGCAGAAAGAGCCTAGAGTGACCTTGTTTTCTTGGTCAAGACAGCCACCAACTCATTGACAAAGGTCAATGCTGCACTACAGAAAGCAACCATGTACAGGGTGCTAACATATGTGGCTCTTGCTCCAACATGCTCAATGGGAGGCAGAAAGCAAGCTGACTCCAAAGAGGGAAACACCCTTGGCAGATACCAAATCACATACCCGTTTCCTCCCTCTGAGGGCTTTTAAGCAGGAGCTGTTCAAACATGGCTCAGCAGAAGACATTTCTGCCAACTCGCACTTTGAGTTCCATACACTTAATCTTTATTTCTGTGGCTGACACCTCCCTTTACATGAAACAAAACCTTTACTGTCATCATGCTTAAGCATTTGTACAGGAAAGCCTGCCAAGGAAATATGGCCTTGAAAGAGCCCTACAGGAAGCACACCACACCAGAGAACATGCATACCCAGGCAAATCTTCCTGCCCTGGAAAGGCACTTCATGAGAAGACAGCCCCCAACCTCCAGCAGAGAGAATTCCCTACCCTGCCACCACCACTCATCAGCAAACTCCAGTGTACTGATACCTGTCCCCAGTCTTAGGTCAGCAGTGCTATGCACTATCGGGAAGCTGGACTGCAACAGCAAATTAATTAGTACTAGATCCAGATGCTTCTAATTGAGGAACTATTTCTCCTTCTACACTGGTTGGACCCTAATGTCAAGTCAGCATATCCAAAACCCTTCCCTCCACATCACAGCCCAGAGAAGAGTGTTTCCAGACAGTCTACTCACTCTCCCCTTTTTCTGTCACTTCTCCACTAGACTCAGTAAACCTTCAGCCCCCTCCAATCACACTCTTTTGCCCACAAGTCAGGGGCTGCTTGCCATTCTACAGCTTGTATATACTCAACTCAGGTTAGACTCAAGCATGTACTCAAGTTGCTACAGCTTGTATGTACTCAACATCCATTTACCTTGGGGCATTTTTAAGCCAGGCCATCTGTAGGGTGGTGCCTCCCATTCCAAGTGAATAGAAGGTCCAACGAGCCCTGATTAGAGAGCACCTGCAACCTCTTATTAGGACATGGGGTGTAACTATTACCCTGCCTTCCCTCTAACTCTCAACGGGCGTGCAATATGGATTATTCATGAACAATCTCTTCAACCAGAAAGCAACCCCCACGACCCAATTGGACTGCTGATGCCCCTGCATACATCCATCAAGCCGCTTCTGTTGTCAAATCTAACAGCCCAGTGCTACTATAATCCAGAAAGAACATGTGCAGCCCCCCCCCCAACACACACACTTTATAACTCCAAGTGCAGATCAAGCTGCTGTTGACTATACCCTGGGCCAGATTTTCTTCTCCACAGCTCTCCCTCTCTCTTCTAGTATCAGGGCCTTCTTCAGTCTACAACCTCAATGTAGAGCCACTCTCTCCAGCCTGTTCTTCTTCCCACACCCCTGGTGAAGTGCACCGTCTCCTAACATCACAAGTGGCACTCCCCCCCCCCCTTAATGATCCATGAAGTCAACAGAAGCCTTTTAAAACTATCTCAAGAATAGCAGTTCAGTGAACGGGGGCTAGGAAGCCAGTGTAGGACAGTGTACACAATGCATACCTGGCAGGGCTTAGCCATGAGCTCAGAAGGTAGCCTTAGGCAAGGCACTATTCTTAGCCCACCCCACCCCCCAGGCAGAATTTGGGAAGGGTGGCCTCTTATAGGATTGTTATAAGGATTACAGAGGTCACCGCCAGGAAACACTCTGAATGTGTCCTTCGCCCAAAACATGTCTCCTGCATCACAAAGCTTCTACATTCTGCCCAAGCTCGTAGTGGCATTCACTGGCCACCAGACCAAGCCATGAACTGGGGAACCCCCGCATCAGATGCCATCTCTCCTATAAACTCCAGCTCTACCTGCAATATGGTGCTGGGGGAGATTTAAAAAGGGTAACTGGAAGGGCCCCAAAATAATGTGAAGCATTTTGTATGCACCAAGTGCTACTCAACTAGTAGCAGTACTTGACACATACTTGGGAAGAGCCATAAGAGTGTGAGATTTAAAAAGGGTAACTGGAAGGACCCCAAAGTAATGTGAAGCATTCTGTATGCTCCAAGTGCTACTCAACTAGTAGCAATACTTGACACATACTTGGGAAGAGCCATAAGAGGGTTTTAGCTAAATAGCTCATCTCGATCTAGCCAGCTGGCTACAGAGAAGACTCTCAGATCTCAGCCTAGTTGCTGAAACCATGGGAGTTGCTCAGAATGATCAACTTACTCTACACACACACCACATACTAATATAGAGAAAGATCAAAGTCATTAATAATTGGTCAGAAAGGCTAAGTTTATAACACCTTTAGTAATTATAGAAGCTTGCATATACCAGATGACTGAGGCAAGAACTACGTAATTTAAGGCTGTACTCTTATGGCAGGAATTTGGGAGTAACACCCACTTAACTCAAAGAGACTTACACGTGGATAAAGGTGCAAGTCTTTCCCACAGAAGCCTGGCACTTGCTTATTGACAGGCATTACGGCTTTCCTGGCCATGCTTCCCCTTAGAAGCTGTACATTATTCAAAATGAGTTCAAAATGAGTTATCTCCCCCACTCCCACCCCATATAAGCATGCACAAGACTACAGCTGCCATTTGCTGGTTAAGCTCAGCATTGTGTTGGGTTTTTTTTAAAAAAAAAAAACAGTGAAGAGAGTTAAGATCTCTATGTTAGTATACAGAACCTCAACCCAACGGATCACCAAGGCTGGCTATTCACAAGTATGTCAAGAGGCATACTGATCAAGTGGCTCCAGGTTCCACGTACTAGCTCTGCTGCTTAGGTCCAAGCATCCTCAGAGAGACAAATTAAAATGTGGAACATCAATCTACTTGACCACTAGACCTCCCCCACTGACTCACTCAAAACCAAGCAAAGTCAACATACAGCACCACAACCCAACCGATCGTTCCTCCTACTTCTGAGTAACTATCTTGAGACGCGCTGCAATCCAGAAGGATGAGATTCCACAGACTAACTCTGCTTAGTTCCCAAGTAAATGAGCAGAGGCAGAGTTCGCCTAAGGAATCTCAACCGATCGGGAGATGATTAAAAAAAATCGGGGGGTGGGATAGCAATGTACGGCCTCCACCCTCTCCTACGGGAGTCCCATCACGCACCTGCACGATCCTGCGCGGCCGCACGGACAGAGTCGGGAAGTTGCCCCGGCCGTGGATGGGCACAGCTTCTTCGAGGATCTGGTCCAACCGCTGCACCTGCTGCCAGCTGAGGACACTAAAACGCCCGTCATCACTGCTGCTGTGGGGCGGTTGCCCCGAGTTCGTAGCGACCACCGCTGACTCAGTCGAGTGCATGGCGACGAAGCAGCCTCCCGGAAAGCAGAGACGCTGACAGGCGGGGTGGAGGAGAAAAGCAGGCTGAGTTTATTTAAGAATAATTACTTTTAAAAAAAGGAAAAAAGGAAAATTCCAGAAGAGAGAAGGAGGAGGGGAAACAAGAGAAGCTGGGGGAGAGGGGCTGGCAAAGGGTGGGCGCAAATCAGCCAAGCCACCGTCTTCCTTCTTTGTCCCGTCTTACCCCCCTCCCCTCCTCCAAGCCCGCTAGCGACACTTCGGCACTGCAGAAGCCTCTGCCGGCGCTCGCAATTTATATAGAGCCGCCGCCGCACGCTTCCATTGGCTCTGCTCGAGCCGCCAATCAACGGGCTTGCTCGCGGAAGGCTCCGAAGGGCGTTCTCATTGGAAGCGACGGGCCAGAGTCGGCTCCGCCCACTTTATCCAGCAGACGACAGGGAACTCAAGCGGCTCTAAAAAGACAACGATAATCTCGTCGTTTTGGACGTCAGAGGGGAGTCCTACCTGTGATTGGTCGACGGGGAGGAGGCTGGGTTTAAAGATACAGTGGCTGTCAAAGCCGAGAGAAAGCAACGGAGTCGAGGCGATTATTGGTTGGTGGAAGAAGTTCGGGGCTCTCTTGGAAATTATAGCCCTCTGATATGAAAGTCCAGATGGGCGAGGTTAATTGTGATTACCGAAGAGGAGGCGAGTAATATAAAAATAGTCCACATATGCTTAGAGGCACTCTTGCCTTCCTGACCAAGAAGCTACTAGTGGTACGTCAAAGACTTACCTTGGGGGTTTTTTCAGTTCAAGGTTTCGTGGAAAAGAGCCCGCTTTGATCAGTTGCAAGCGACAAAATGCGGAGGAGTCCAGGCAGACTTGTGGTGGAATGAACTCTTGCAAGCCTTTAAGGTACTGCAAAGCTTGTGCTTATTTTTTCCCTGCAACAGACTGACATAGCTGCTCCTTGGGAATGGGAACTGTTACCTGTTTACTTCCTGCTTTTTGGGATCGTGGCTGAGTTCTGCAAACCAGAGTGTGGGTGGAGAGAGGACAATAAGACACCCCGGGCTTTATGGAGATTGGATCTGAGGTTTGTAAAGAGATGCATGGAGTTATTTAAAGTATTTATTGGCCTCCTCTCCAAAAAAGGAAACACATTTGGAGAGGGCTGTGGCTCAGTGGCCGAGCATCTGCTTGGCAGGCAGAAGGTTCCAGATTAAATCCCTAAAATCTCCAGTTAAAAGAACTAGGTAGAAGGTGGTGTCAAAGACCTCTGCCTGAGACCCTGAGGAGCTACTGCCAGTCAGAGTAGACAATACTGACTCTGGATCAAAGGTCTGACTGAGTATAAGCAGCTTCAGGTGCCTTTATGCACGCACACATATACTGGTATAAATACAGACATATCAAATCTAGTTATAAATGTTACTATGCTTCAGATTTATAATTTGTGTTGTGTGTTTGTGTATATGTATGCATGTGTACTAGTAACAACAATAAAAGTGGCAGGATTTTGGTGAACTAAGAGTGAATTTCTTCAGATGGTTCTGCACAAAAAAGGAGTTGGTTTTGGGTGTACAGATGGGGAAATAAATGGATATAAAAGAAAAATGAGATGGGGTTTTGGGATTCAGACCAATTCCCACAAACTTTGCACACATGTGGCCTAAGGTCGTTCATCTCTCAGAAAGGGGCATTGTGAATCAATGTCTAAGAGCCCAGATCAAAACTCAATTATATTACTATGCCTAAAGTAATATAATGGATTAAATGTTTAATATAATGTCAACTTTTTAAAAAATGTGCTGCCCAGTGCAAGTCAATGTTCCACAACTTTGGAATTTGCTGGCTACAATCCATCACAAAGGTAGACACACTTACACCTATTTATTTCAAGGGCTTTTAAGAGTGTATAAGCTCTACAATTCTAGGTCATAAAAGTTCATTCACACAACTGTCTTTCAAGTGTCACAGGATTCTTTTTTGCTTTAATTCAACTAAATTTTCCTTTAAATACTGCTTCAGACACGTTGAGAAAATCCTTTTAGTTCCACTTTTGCTCTTTTCCAGTTTTGGAGTTGATGGGATTCTAATATATAACAGGTAAAAGTGTCCTGAGCTCCCTTTGGCGACTTATCTGGGCATGCAGATTTTAATTTCCTTATGAGGCTCCTGCTGATGGGGTGTTTGGATAGACTCGTTATCTAGCACTGTTTGATATTCATCCTTCAATGTCTCTCTTTGATGGGCCAGCATCCTGATTGCAGCCCCTCATCCCATGGAGTTCAGTAGTACTGGGAAACAGTTCATGTTACTAGCCTGCTGGGCTATTTTTGGGCAGGAACGCACAGGAATGGAGTTCCGGCTGGCTCCCAAGTTGGCCACGCCCAGCAGAAACTCATTAGCATAATAGGCCACACCCAACAGCAGAAACTCATTAGGATTGGCTACATTAGGGGTGTGTGGCCTAACATGCAAAGGAGTTCCTGCTACAAAAAAAGGCCCTGGGTTTTGACAACAAACAAGGTAAACAGAATGGCAAGCAAAAAGTGGGTGTGGCTGGATAACCACACTTCTGGTAACATGTGGGTGCGGCCTAATGTGCTAATGAGCTGTGCTGTCAGGGGTGTGGCCCGATATGCTAATGAGTTCCTGCTGTTGGGTGTGTCCTATTATGCTAATGAGTTCCTACTGGGCTTTTTCTACAAAAAGAGCCCTGGTACCAACATCAAGCACTTCTGATTGTCCACAGCCAAAGTTACGTCTACAGTGGCCCCACAAGTAACAGAGGAACTCCAGACCTCAGGAAGTCCTTCAAATGCTCAGTATTGTTAGAGTTTAATGCAGAAGAGACTGAAGAAGGACAGAGTTAATTAAATAGCATTTAGGGGTGTGAACATAGACGAGGCTTGCTAATTCTGTGGAAAAACTTGTGTGAGCAAGTTTTGAGTTGGGTGATTTATTTGTAGAGGAATACAGTGAAACCTTGCTCATTTGTTCCTTGGTTGTAAACATCCCATTGCTCCCAGTACAGGAAGTGTCGTTTTTATTTAATCTGTCATTTCCATTATTGTCATAATAACAGTGTGCATTTAAGTGGAATGTGGTAAGTACATTGCAGGTCACTGTACATCTTCGTCACTCTGCCCATAGCCTCAAAAACCTTCACATCATCAAGGCAGGTAGTCGTGTTAGTCTGTAGCAGTAGAAAAGAGCAAAAATCTCATGAAAACTCTTACCCTGCCACAAATTTTGTTAGTCTTTAAAGTGCTACTGGACTGTTGCTCTTTTCTACTTTGCATCATTCCAACTCTATCTATCTGTTCTGTTACCTCCTCCCCAAGTATTGATAATTCCTCAGGTAACACCACAAGCTTTATGGATGTTAAATACTGGGTTCTAGACAGATTGCAGCGATCAGCTCAGGTTTATTAAGTGATTTCAGCAGAACACAGGACAAAGTTAGCAGGGCTGGAGCCCTGCTTATATGCATACAAAACACCATGCCCAACACACACACACTCCCAGTGATAGGCTATTTACATTACATTGCTTATCTATAGGTTAGTTCCTGGATCCATGCGAGCTATTGTTCAAGAGAAGCAAGCTCAAAACACCACACCCAACATACATTCCCAGTGATAGGCTATTTACATTACACCTTTTGTCTATAGGTTAGTTCCTGGATCCATGTGAGCTATTGTTCAAGAGAAGCAAGCTCAGCCCGTTCTAAGTGCAGCAAGAGGAAAGGCTTAGGCTCAATACATAACAACGGATGAGGGTTTACAGGATCTGTATGATGTCTCTCTTTGTTTTACCACATATGTGTGAAATAAACGCTTGGGGGAGCAACTGCAGCAGCAGCACAACAGCACATTTCCAGAGGAAGCCTCTGGACCTCAAACTGTGCCACCTACAGCCAACTCACAGGTCTCGGGGGGCCTTACTCTGTGTTTCGTTGTTTATGAGCCTACCTTGTGTATGCCCTGAGTCTGGTCAAGCAGAACTGTGCTGGGAGTTCCTTGCCTGAAACATAGATTTGGATTGGGACCACTGGGAACATGGGCTTAGGCCTACCTCTCGGAGCCATCTCTTGCTTTGAAATAGTCCCACTGGGAGCCTTGTAGAAAACTTACATGTATCTCATTGGAACACGCATGTATTTATCCAAACAGGTCAAATAGTGGTTACCCAGGACTGTATCAGATTGGGTTGGGGAGGGTTAGGACCCCTGTGCCAGTTCCAATATAAATGCTCCCCCCACTTTCTGTTGCTTGTCTCCATGGGTCATTTCATAGAAAAAGAGGTGCAGGAGCTCATTTGCATAACTCATTTGCATATGCCACACCCCCTGACATCACCGGAAGTGCGTCAGAAGGCAACACCCACGGCTCAGGATCCACTGGACTGCTTTGGATTGCTAGCTATTGGGGGGGGGGAACGTGCAGATCTGTCCTCGCAGAGGAGGGAGAGCTTGTACCTTAATAAAACTTGCTTCAAGGTGCCACTTGACTGTGTGGGGCCGGGGGGCCGGGGGGGGGGGGCTCTGCAGCTTCCCTGGCTGCTTCTTGCTCTGACTGAGGGCTGCTGGGAGCAGGGGGTGGGGCTTGTTGCATGTGCCCGCCCCCTGGGCTCTTTACTGCCGGAGCTCCGCTCCTGTGCGCTCCTGCAGGAGATGACCCCTGCTTGTCTCCATCATTAACTAAAAGGGAGGCTGCAAATAAGAAATCATAAGAAGACTCAGACTGGGAAGGGCAGCCATGAAGGAGCTAAAAAAGATTCGTAGTGGGTTGCTGGTGACCAAGATCAAGTTAATTCATGCCATGGCATTCCCCATTATTATGTATGCCTGTGAAAGTTGGACAATGAAGAAAGCTAACAGGAAGGAAGCTGATTCATTTGAAACGTGGTGTTAGAGGAGAGTTTTACTGATACCATGGAGTGCCAAAAGGACAAACAAATGGGTTCTAGATCAAATCAAGCCTGAACTCTCCCTAGAAGCTAAAATTTGGTCCCATTATGAAAAGACAAGAGTCACTGGAAATGACAATAACGCTACGAAAAGTTGAAGGCAGCAGGAAAAGAGGAAGACTTAACATGAGATGGATTGACTTTGCAAG